GTAATAGTATTTTTAAAAGTTGTGGTCAGGCTGGGCGCTGGTGGCTCACGCCTGTAATCCTAGCTACTCTGGAGGCTGAGATCTGAGGATCGTGGTTCAAAGCCAGCCCGGGCAGGAGAGACTGTGAGACTCCTATCTCCAGTAAACCACCAGAAAACCGGAAGTGGCGCTGTAGCTCAAGTGGTAGAGCGCTCGCCTTGAACTGAAGAGCTGAGGGACAGCGCTCAGGCCCAGAGTTCAAGCCCCAGGACCGACCAAAAAAAAAAAAGTTGTGGTCAGTATCTCACCAGTTTTCTCCTGAGTACTAAAAGCATTTTAACTGATTTGAGCATAGTAGTGGCTAAGAGATAGTTTTAAAAAGGTTTTACTAGCCCAGATAGCTCATACCTGTAATCCTAGCTACTCAGGAGGCTAAGATCTGAGGGGATCACAGTTCTAGGCCAGCCCAGGCAGGAAAGTCTGTGAGACTTTTTTTTTTTTTTTTGTCGGTCTGGGGCTTGAACTCTGGGCTTGGGTGCTAACCCTGTGCTCTTCAGCTCAAGGCGAGCACTCTACTGCTTGAGCCACAGCACCACTTCTGTGTGAGACTCTTATCTCCAGTTAACCACCAGAAAATCAGAAGTGGTGCTGTGGCTCCAAGTGATAGAGTGTTATCCTAAAGTGAAAAAGCTCAAGGATAGCACTAAGCCCTGAAGGTTCAAGCCTCATGACTGACCCCTCCCCCCCAATTTTTTTTAATGAGTATGTCTTTACCTCAAAAACATCCATCTTATATAATTTTAAACTGTCACATGAGTTCAATGCATTCTATTTTCCCCCTTAGTACAGCTACAGATCAGTTGCAGTTGATTGCTAGAAATGAAATCCGTTGTTATAGTTATAACAAAGGATTTATTTGTCACTTCGTTAATAATTCCAATTACAAAAGAATGTTAAATTTAACAGTGATGTGACACAACTTTGAAAAAAAACTAAAAACTGGCAAACCAGTTTATCCTGTAATGATTTGAAAATCAGCAATAGTTGATTGTCCTCTGGAGGTTGAAGCTGCCATTTCTGGGATTTAAGAAGTGAGGAGTCTGTTGGGCTGGGAAGGTGGCTCAGTGGTAGAGTGCTTGCCTTGCATGCCTGAGGCCCTGGGTTCGATTCCTCAGCACCACATAAGCAGAAAAAAAAAGCCAGAAGTGGCACTGTGGCTCAAGTGGTAGAGTGCTAGCCTTGAGCTGAAGAGCTGAGGGACAGCGCTCAGGCCCAGAGTTCAGGCCCCACGACCGGACCCAAAAAAAAGAAGTGAGGAGTCTGAGTAATGACAGCGGTAGCCAATAGTTTGTAGGTTAGTAGCAGAGTCCTTGCCTCTTCCATGTTTAGCAACCCTCCCTCCACCTCCTTTTTTTGGGGGGTTGTTGTTGTGGTTGGTTGAACTCTGGGCCTGGGTGCTGTCCCTGAGCCTCTCTGTGCTCAAGATTACCAACTTATCACTTGAACTACAGTGACATTTCTGGTTTTTGAGTAGTTAATTGGAGACAAGAGTCTCACAGGGACTTTTTCTAAGCCCAGGCTGGCTTTGAACTGCGGTCCTTAGATCTCAGCCTCCTAAGTAGCTAGAATTACAGGTGTGAGCCACCAGCATCTGCTCCCTACCACATGTTTATTATATTTGATGGCCACTTTTTGTCTTGTTGGTGTTCTCAAGTAGCACTGTAGAGAGGATTTCCTTTTCTCTTTTCCAGTTTCTTTGTTCTGTCCTTCAGGCATGTCTTCACAGGCTAGCTATTAACCGAGCTTGGTTTGATTTCTTTTTTTTCCCTTCTCCATTAGCTTCTGGTGAAGCAGGTTTTTTTTGTTTTGTTTTTGTTTTGGGGTCCGATCGTGGGGCTTGAACTCTGGGCCTGGGCGCTGTCCCTCAGCTCTTCAGCTTAAGGCTAGCACTCTACCACTTGAGCCACAGCGCCACTTCCGGCTTTTTTCTTATGTGGTGCTGAGGAATTGAACCTAGGGCCTCAGGCATGCAAGGCAAGTGCTCTACCACTGAGCCACCTTCCCAGCCCGAGCAGGTTTTGATAATATAGTCTCGTCAGTCATTTTTCTGTTCTGTTAAATGTAGCAAAAAATGGTTCTTTTTTTCTTTCCCTATATTCTCAGATATCTAACGTAAGTGTCAGTGAGTTTTTATGTTAGTGTGATTTAATATTTGTGTATGTAATTGACTAAAAGTTGGTCCAGATTAGGAAAAAGGTAAGAATAAAGTGTTGTTGTTAGTTGTGGGGCTTGAACTCAGGGCCTAGGCACTGTTCCTGAGCTTTTTCACTCAAAGCTAACACTCTCCTTTGAGCCATAGTGCCACTTCCGGTTTTCTCGTGGTTAATTGGAGATAAGAGTCTTCAATTGAGCCTGCCTTGGCTGGCTTCGAACTGAGTTCCTCAGATCTCAGTCTCCTGAGTAGCTAGGATTACAGGCATGGGCCATTGACACCCTGTGTAAACTTATTTTTTGATAAAGCCAATATATCCAACAAATCTTGGCTCCAGACAGTTTTTAACTCACCAACATTTTTTTAAACAGCTTTAGAGGACTGTTGAATATAGTAATTTTCAAGACTATTTACCCCCAAGTTTCCAGGAAACAAGCCAGTCATTGATCTTTGACTATCCAGGAATCTCTGGAGGTTAGCTATATGCTTTCCAGGATTTTGTATTTTGTAGACAGTGTGTCTTTATCCTGAGTGTGTAGATTGGTAGGGGTTAACATTCCTTCCAGAGTGTGAAAACCAGCTTTACAGTAGTTGAATATTAGCCTAGGTAGTTTGTTACCAACTTTCCACACTAGGTAGTGGTACTTAGATATTTTCTGACTTGAGTTCCTTTTCATACCCCTAGGTGTACTCACCCCATAATCCACCATAAAAAAGGAACAGTAACAGCCAAAGAACCTGAGGCGAAGTCCTGAAGTGAAACCTGATTTAAAACAAGGGCCAAGAAAACCTGAATTGTTCTGCCTACCTTTCTCCTCTCCATTTTTATCTAATTGAATAAGACCACAAGATTAACATTAAAAAATACTGAATTCATTTAAAAATAAAAACAAGTATGTTTATTATTTTTAGTTTAGTGTGCTTGGAAATTCTTTTTTTTTTTTTTGACCAGTCCTGAGATTTGAACTCAGGACCCAGACACTTTCCCTGTGCTTCTTTTTTTTGCTCAAGGCTAGCACTCTACCACTTGAGCCACATCGCCACTTCCGGCTTTTTCTGTTCATGTGGTACTGAGGAATGGAACCCAGGGCTTCATGCATGTTAGGCAAGCACTCTACCAGTAAGCCACATTCCCAGCCCTGGAACTTCTTCAGTTATATTATTTGTTAAATTGTCTTGGGTTAGTAAAAGTTTAATTTTTGAGCTTTATATGCTAGTTATCAATAAATAATAATTTTTCATTTAATGCTCACAAAAGCCTTACGATGTATGTGTATATGTGTGCACATATGTATGTATGTATCCACTTCTAGCTCTATATATTAATTTCTATATGTATATGTATGTATATATATATGTCTATGTACCTATATAGTTCTAAAGAGTCTTAGTCTGAACCAGGTGCCTACCAAGTAAGGGAAAAAACTGGCAATCTACATCTAACCTACTGTATCTGTTTAATGCTAACAACTAGTTGTATTATTAATTATAGATGCACTTCAAGTTAAAAATACAAAAGCTTTTTGGTACCTATCTCAGTTATAACCCTATAACTGATTATATGTTGACATGTAATCACACAACATTGTTACTATTACCTGGATTTTCTCCTTTCCTTTTGCTAACTATATATTGCTGTGCCTCGCCCTCCATTTTCTCCCCTTTGGTATTCAAAGTGTAGTGCCATTCACACAAGGTGGATAGATGATGGTTTGCTTTCCCTATGTGCTTTATCAGTTGGCTATAGCTATAATATGCTTGGTTCTTGGAATTTATGAATGTATTTTCTTACCCTTTTCCAAAGGCCTGTCAATGCCAGCATGAATGTTATTAACTTCAGGGCATATTGTAGTTATGGTTGTTGTCTTGATAAAGATGCCACTAGAATCATTGACAGATTGTTGTTTCATTGTACATTTGGAAATTCATAGGGGAGGTGAATGTTTTTACTTGCTCCTCATTTCTACTTGTGCAAAAGTCTGTTTCTTTGTTCATATTTTTTTTTAAGTCAGTTGTGGGGCTTGAACTCTGGGCCTGGGCACTGTCCTTCAGCTCTTCAGCTCAGGCTAGTGCTCTACCACTTGAGCCACAGCACCACTTCTGGCATTTTCTGTTTATGTGGTGCTGAGGATTTGAACCCAGGGCCTCATACATGTGAGGCAAGCACTCTACCACTGAGCCACTTTCCCAGCCCCTTGTTCATATTTTTTATTGCATATTATTGTAATTATTGTCTCTAGATTCCCCATTTATAATATTTCTCTATTGGTGATTCAAACACATCCTTTATAGCGAGTGAGAAAACATCCCCCTCCTTTCCCTGTATGCTGCTTGTTGTAGTCCTTCATCTGTTCCTTTATGTGGGTATTGATCTTGTTTGAACTGCGAGTATTTAAGAATTGGCTTCTACCAGGGTCTTAATGTAATTCTTTTCTGTTGAGCTTTCATTTTGGACATGTGAGGGGGATCTACAAATTCAGAGCACCCATCTGTTCGGATCACTTCTTAGGATTTACAGCTGGTCTCCTTCATTCCCACTTTACTTATCCATATTTACAAACAGTGACAGAGTATATTGTGTATACCATACATTAAAAAAAGGAAAAGGCAGAAGTATTGATACATGGGAAAATAAGGCACTTATTCAAATTCCTAGGAAGAGGCATTGTACTTGATAGCTTTTATTTGTTTTTGTTGTAAGTTGAAGGAAGGAAGAGATTGGAACAGTGAATTTATGTTTGACTGATACTAATGTTTATTTGAAGAAAGGGCAATAAAATTCAACCCTTCCTCCTTTTTTTGTTCTCAGGCTCAAAATACTTGCTGAACAGTGGACTCAGAGACCATTACATATAAACTCGTACTTGACCAGCATTTGATTAGCCAGGTAATTTATTCATTTTATTTTAACTTGATCCATTGTAATTTTATTTCAACTTTGTAATTACTACCCTTTCCTTTCATTTATGGTTTAATTTATACTTTTTTTTTTGGTCGGCCGTAGGGCTTGAACTCTGGGCCTGGGCGCTGTCCCTCAGCCCTTCAGCTCAAGGCGAGCGCTCTACCACTTGAGCTACAGCGCCACTTCCGGTTTTCTGGTGGTTTTTATTGGAGATAGGAGTCTCACGGTCTCTCCTGCCCGGGCTGGCTTTGAACCGGGATCCTCATATCTCAGCCTCCTGAGTAGCTAGGATTACAGGCGTGAGCTACCAGCGTCCGGCTAATTTATACTTATTTTATACTTGATGCTTTTCTCTTTAATGTTAATTCTAGTTGAAAGAATGGGCATGGGATATTCACTCTAATATATACTCATTTATGTTCATTTACATGTATGTGAATGGGTAAACAAACATAACCTTGGGAAGGGAGAAAACAGCCCTCTGCCTCCCATGAGTAAACATTTTAAGGACACTTAGTCTGAATGAACCCTAGCCCATGTTTACCATTTTACCTGGTGAAGATGCATTTTCCCAGATTGTGCTGGCAAATAGAATTTCAAATAGCGTGGCTGGGAAGGTGGCTCAGTGGTAGAGCGCTTGCCTTGTATGCATGAGGCCCTGGGTTCGATTCCTCAGCACCACTTAAGCAAAAAGAAAAAAGCCGGAAGTGGCGCTATGGCTCAAGTGGTAGGGCACTAGCCTTGAGCTGAAGAGCTGAGGGACAGTGCTCAGGCCCAGAGTTCAGGCCCCACAACTGGACCAAAAAAAAAAAAAAAGAATTCCAAATAGCCTCATTCTTAACCTTGAATGTTGCACCAGAATAAGAAAAAACAAGAATAGAGAGTTGTCTAATATCCAAGAATGCAGTTATGCTTTGCCTAGTTACATGTCTTTTGTTAGTAAAGCCATCATTCTCTTAGACTTCTGCAGTTTTGAATCCCATTTCCTTTGATGTGTTTAGCAAACAGGCTTTATCTAGTTTGCTCTTTTTTTCCCTTTCTCTTGTTGTGTTTGTTCTACTTTCTGTTTCTAATTTTAGCTTCCTTTAGACCAAGACTCCATAATTTCATGCTTCTATTTCTACTTCTTTATCCATTTGTACTCATTTGTAATTTTGCTAGAATTTTCAAAAAAATACAACTTTTTTTCTTTTTTGTCGGAAATGGGGCTTGAACTCTGGGCTTGGGTGCTGTCCCTGCGCTCTTCAGCTCAAGGCAAGTGCTAACTTTTTTTCTTAAATATATTTTTTCCTTGGCTTACAAGAAAAGGTACAAGAGCCGGGTGCCTGTGGCTCATGCCTGTAATCCTAGCTACTCAGGAGGCTGAGATCTGAGGATCATGATTCAAAGCCAGCCTGGCAGGAAAGTCCATGAGACTCTTCTCCAATTAACCACCAGAAAACTGGAAGTGTTGCTGTGGTAGGGTGCTAATCTTGAGCTTTAGAACTCAGGTACAGCACTCAGGCCCAGAGTTCAAGACCTAATGGGGAGTGGGGAATGAAAAAGGCTGAGGTAGAGTACCTGCTCTACAGCAGTGTGGGGGGGGGGGGGGGGGGGGGGGGGGGAAAGAAAGAGGGAGGGAGGAAGGGAGATAGAGAAAGATTTGAAATAGCTCTTTTTTTTTTCTGGAAATTTAAGTTACCACCCTTTAGCTTTTGTACTTTGCCTAACTTGCATTTATTTTTCTTCTCTTCCTTCTCTCCTCCTCCTCCTCCTCCTCCTGCTGCTAGGAACAAAAGATTTTTATTAATCTTCATGGCTATTTTTAGCATCAGACTTAAATGTTACCCTTTCAAAAAAGCACCAGGACTATAATAGTTGAAAAACAAGTACTTGCTGAAGATGTCTTCTGTGAGTTTGATCATAAATGCCTTGGAAAAGGATACAAACTGTAGATGGTAGAAATTTAGAATAGCCATGTTTACAACTTTGCAGAAATAGTGTAGTAATTATTTCCATTGCATATGACATTTTAAGGAAAATAATTATGATTAGCAGCATTACACTGGCACCATCAAGCTCTTGTATAGGAGCAAAGGTATACAAAACTGTTAAAAATAGGCTAGAATCACTAACAGTTTTTATTTACAGGTCACTAGCTTGATAAAGTGTCTTGCTGTGCTTGGCATTTAGATGGCTTACTTGGGGAACTCATTTAATATACAGTAACTACCATTAGCATCATAGTTACAGATTGCACAAATATCTATTAATATATAGTTTAGAATCTGGGGCTTGAACCTCAGGGCCTGGAAGATGTCCCTGAGTGCTTTTGTTCAGGGCTAGTGTTCTACCACTTTTTTTTTGCTGGTCCTGAGACTTGAACTCTGGGCCTGGGTGCTGTCCCTGAGCTTCTTTCACTCAAGGTAAGCATTCTACCACTTGAGTTATGGTGCCATTTCTGGCTCTTTTGAGTTTATTGGAGATAAGAGTCTCATGGACTTTCCTGCCCCGGCTAGCTTCGAACCACAATCCTCAGATCTCAGACAACTGAGTAGCTAGGATTACACTGAGCCATCTCTTTCTCACTTTTTTTTATATATATACACACACACACACACACACACACTTTTTTTTTGTTTTTGCTTTTGTTTTGGTCAGTTGTTAGGCTTGAACTCAAGCCCTGGGCTTTGAACTTGCCCTGGACTGGGTACTGTCTTTGAGATTTTTCACTCAGGGCTAGCACTCTACCACTTTGAGCCACAGAGTACTGCTTCTAGTTTTCTGGGGATTAATATGAGATAAGAGTCTTGGGGCTGGGAAGGTGGCTCAGTGGTAGAGTGCTTGCCTTGCATGCCTGAGGCCCTGGGTTCGATTCCTCAGCACCACATAAGAAAAAAGCCAGAAGTGGCGCTGTGGCTCAAGTGGTAGAGTGCTAGCCTTGAGTTGAAGAGCTGAGGGACAGCGCCCAGGCCCAGAGTTCAGGCCCCATGACCGGACCAAAAAAAAAAAAAAAAGTCTTATGAACTTTCCTGCCAATCTAGTTTCAAATCCTGAGTAGCTAGAATTACAAGTGTAAGCCACTGGCACCTGGCCCTTTAACCTTTTTTTCCCCCCAAATTATAGCCTTGTAACTTTTTATATCTTTCTAACTTGAGAAAAGATCTCTTGTATGAGATGATTTTTAAAAAATAGTTCTCCATCCTTTGTGGTTTAATTTGAAATGATTAAAAAATTTAATTTAAACAAAAATTTTAACATGAAATACTTCTAGTTCATCTTATTATTCTAGTGAAGGTAAAGGAAGAAAACAATCTCAGGTTATCTTCTTACATAACAATTCACACAATTTTTCATTTATTCCCAAAGTAATCAAAATATTTTTGCCCAAGAGTATAGTGAGACATTTTGGTAAAGCAAGAAATCTTTAAGAGGAAATAAAAATTCATCCCTGCAAATTGAAAGGGCAATAAAACTTTAATCTTAGCAGATCCATCAACACCAGTTACTATGCAGTTCTGTTCAGAAAGAGATCAGGGAATCCAATTAAGGCAGAATACTGATCCCTATTATCTATTAAAAATCTTCTAACTAACTCAAGAGATACCTGGGGTTCCCAAGAATATTGAAGAGTTGACTTGTTGGGCTCGAATAGTGGGAACCTTTGGGTACCTTTAATTCTCAAAAACTGCCAGTTTGGAGATGGGAAACCCTTTCTCCAGTCCTTTTTCTAGTGTTAACTCTCACAGCAGAGGGGGTGTTGGATATAGTGGCCCCTTCTTAGGACATTTGGCTTTCCAGTGTTCTTTTTTCCACATTTATGGCATTTCCCCTTTAAGTTGCTTGCATCAGCATGCTATTTAGAGTTGCCCTGAGTTATTCCTTGGGGAGGCATTCCTTTAGAGGAAAATTTTCTGTTGATAATGTAGTATTTGACCTTGCATTTCAGCATATAATTGGGCTTGCCTCTCTTGCTGGTAATTTACCTCTCTTAATACTTCTTTGTTATACCATTAAATCCTAATTGTTGAAACCTGTTAAAAAGGCTAGTTTACTAATGTTTGTCCTATTGAATCTGGGCTGGTATTAGTACAGATTCCAGGTGACTCTGTTAACCATCCTTCTCCTGAGTTATACTTTGTCATAATTAACCATGCAGTTAAAAAGTTCTACATTGGTATTCCCAACTCAGTAGCTTCAGTTGGCTTCATCATTGGGAATGATGAGATTTCCCATTGATTTTATTTTATCCCTGACATGGACCTCATTATCATAACCTTGAGCTGCTGTCCAATGGTATTCTTCTCTCCCTGAGTGCAACAGACTGAGAATAGAACATCAAAGTCCTTCTAGTTTAGGTCACCAGTAGTAGTTATAATCTTAAATTGATCTAAGATTTTCCCAGTGTTCTTAGAAACGTGTGTGTGTGTGTGTGTGTGTGTGTGTGTGTGTGTGTGTGTACGTACATGTGTACGTATAGTGAGATATTTCTGCCATCCAAAAAAACTGTACATAAAGAGAATTTCAGACAATTTACTCTTGTCATTTCTCAAAATGAAAATAAGCAGGAATATTGTATTAAAGTAAGTGTGTCCATTTACAGGGCAAGATTTTCCATTATCTAATTAACTAGGTAGGGCTTGAATTCAAGACCTGGGTGCTATCCCTGAGCTCTTTTGCTCAAGGCTCTACCACTTTGAGCCACAGCTCTACTTCTTTTTTTTTTTTTTTTTTTTGAGTGGTTAATTGGAGTCATGGGGACTTTTCTCTGAGCTGGCTTTGAACCATGCTCCTCAGAGCTCAGTCTCCTGAGTAGCTAGGATTACAGGTGTGAGCCACTGGCACCTGGCCCATTATCTAATTTATAATGAGGATAGATAGATAGATAGATATACCACACATACACACATTATAATAATAAAGCTTTTTTTTTTCCTTCTGGCTCTGAGGCACTTGAATTCAGGACCTGGGCACTGTCCCTGAGCTAATGTTTTGCTCACGTGTAG